TCTGTTTGTTAATTGGTTTCTGACCTTTAATGGTGGATTTTCAGATTCCACTTACTGGGATTTCTTTGTGACTCTGAATGCTGGAAACCTCCTGAAAAGTGAAAGCCGAGAGCTTTCGGACAGGTGGGCCTTTACACAAAAAGCCGCTAGATATGAGAAGATTCACAACCAAATTACTGGCTTGTAAACGAGAAAAGAAAACAAAGTATTGGGACTAGAAAGAAGAGACAACCTTGCAAGCTAAACATGATGCTTGGTCATTGTGCCTTTGGTTTCAAGGCAGCAGCATTGTACAAAGAATTTGAATAGCATGGTCTGATCCATTGCAAGATGAGCAGGAACAAGACCGGCCTGCCTTTCCCCTTTTGGGGGAAGACCCGAGATGCCCTGTGCCTGCCTCGCAGCGGTGACATGGTGCCTTCGTCGTGCTTCATGTCGTGTCTGTGCCGTGAGAGCCTTCGGCCTTGGCTGCCTGCCTGATTAATGGAAGGGGGAAGCAGCGTATGGAATTGGTTGTTATCTTGCTGTATTTTCTCTGCTAAACCCATGGGTGAGAAACAGCACACATAAATGTTGTTTAAGGCCTAGGTGATGTTCGTAAGCAATGGGTCTTATGTTAACTCCCCTGCATCATTGACTGGAACCTTCTCCAGCAGAGGAGTGAGGCTGGTGCAGGTATCATCGCGCTCAGGGAGGCACAAGATGTCCCATGGATCACCCCCAAAAGTCACTTCAGTCTAGAGAGACCCCAGCTCCTTTGTTCCTGCCAGAAACGGTCACATTTCCTATCAGTTGAAGGAAGATTAAGTGTTATGGCAATAAAGTAACTGGACGCGAATTTCCCAAATGGGGTAGAGGCTCCAGAGAAGATGCTAAACTCTGCCAAGCCAGTAAAACGTATTTAAAGTGCTCTATATACGTAAAAATTTTCTCCACAGTGTAATTGCCTTTCATGCTATATCCTAGGATTTTGTGGCACATGTACCGAACTTGATTTTTAGGCAATTGTAACAACAAAAGGGTAAAAATAATTTCATATCAGAAATGACTAAATCAGATACTGGTGGTGGAGGGAGGCTGGTTGCTGACAAAGAGAGGGGATGAAGGACCATGCAGAAAATGCATGCTGGGGGCGAAGCGAGAGTTTTGGAGACGTATTCTTGCAAGATGTGTTTCAGTCATCACGTCACACCTGAGTCTGGCTCGGCTTAAACATGAGTAAGTGAGCAGGCCCAGGATTTGTACCTGACAAACAGATAATGGCCTTTTGCTAACACTTTCTTACGACAGTCTTTTGATGAACACAGATGGGAATAAGGTTCCCCCTGAGAGTTGCCCACATGACCTTTGTATCAGCCAGTCCTGGCACATGAACTGGCATGAACATAGCCACCTAACTGTCTCATGTGACCTCAGACTTCCTGAAAAACTTCTAGAAAAACCTCTGATCTGCAGATCTGCTTTATTCCCAAGGTAGCTGTGTGCCTGTGTCTCTGAAGCATGCTAATAATGAAGTCAGCCCGGGCATTTCACAGCGGTAGGCATTGCTGTTTCAGAGCCAGCTAAGGCACCGTAGCTTCATGTAAGTGGTAGTAGGTGTCGTCATTAAAACGTTTCACGTTGAACTTTGGCATTTGAGATGTGTCTGTTGTAACAGTCAGGTTTGGTGGCCAGTAATCATCCAAGCTCTTGTTTCTGTCAGCAGTCTTTTATGCAGGAAGGTCCCAAACCACTCGTGTTATCAGCATAATCATTCATCTCCTTGTTTCGTCTGCCAAAGGGAAAAGGGGCTGAGTTGGCCACGCTTTAGCTGAAGTCGCTGTGCTGCCAGCCGGATGACTCAGGGCTGGCGGGAAGAAGGTGCACTCTACATCTTACCACTGCTCCAAAAAAAGCAAAGGATGAGCACCAAGCCTGGCAGCTGTAGCCGCCCTACTCGACTCCCTGCTGCAAGCATCCTGGGGTGCAGAGAAGTGGGGTGCTCGCCAGGAGCACGTGGGAGTGCAGATTGCATTGGGCAGAGGTGTTAACACTGCTGTGCGGATGGGGTATAAGAGTTTGCCCTGACTTTGGAGAGGGTAGTTTGGGATCTCAAAGCGAGACCCCAAATGACTACCAAGTGTGGCCTTTTACCTGCCGTTCTTGATGAAGGACAGGGCTATTTTTTTTACATGTCAGTCCTCTTCACATGTTTCTAAGCAATGCCCTGCAGCTCCCGGGGTGGAGATCTTCATCACAGACTGTGTCATTTACCCATCATTTCCACAGGTATCAAGAGCCTGCCTTGCACCTTGGTTCATAGCAGAGCTGTGGTTACATCTGTAGATCCAGTCTGAGGAGGTGCAAGTGATTTCCCACTTGGGGACGAGAAGGTCTGGCTTTGCCTTCCCATTCCCTGCTGCATTTCCCAGACCGCCAGCCCCAGGCGTAAGGAGACAGCGTAGCAAGGCTGGGGCCTGAGGGAGGTACATGTGTACGTGTGCTGCTTCAGGGGGGCTTGGTGGCTCTGATCGGTGGGTGCTATTGTTGGCTAGCACCCAGTGTTTCCCCTCCCTGGGTCTGGGGTCTTCTGACTCCATGAGGGTGTCACAAATCCCAGCAGAGGTGTGAGCAGGGTGGAGGGAGGGTTGTGTGGCTGTGAGGTCAGCCGTGCCCTGGATGCAGGGGGCACAGGTAGGATATAGAGAGGAGTGGTGAATGTGTGTGTTGTAAAACCCAGCTCGGGAGGCTTTCGGACCTGCTCGCTAGAAACCCTTGGGGAGCGCGGTGCAGGCAAGATTGCAGAGCAGTGATGGGTATGAGAGGGAGCTTTACCCACCCAGGCTTCTCTGCTTTGTCCTCTTGAAGATACTGATTCCCAGGAGCACCTCGGTCTAGACGCCTTATGGCAGCCCCACGCTGAGGGAATTTGCTAACTCATAGCTGGCCAGGCCAGGCTCCCGTGGCAGTCTCAGCACTTCGGGATGCAGCTGTGCCCTGCCATGCATCCTTTGTGCAGGATCCCATCTGATCCTTTACGCGGGGTCGATACAGGTTATTGCTGTACAGTATCCCCTCTGCCCTGCCTGTCCAGGATGTGTGCTTTGCTTCAATGCTTTATGTCTTGTTTTTCCCTCACTAGCTGGATAAGATGCAGAGCTCTGCACAAGCCTGTCTCGGGGAGAAGGAGAGGATGTCTGGTGCATGCTCAAAGCGATGCTGCCTTCCTTTCCCAGCCTCCTCAGAGCCTTGCTGATGGTCGTTGGCTGGTTGTCGTGTGGCAGAGGTAGTTCAGCATGAATAGAGTGAGCAGAACTCGTGTCACAGCAGCAGCCGCGCTGAGTGCGATAAGTGCAAGGGAGACTGCAGCTAGGAGAGAGATGTCTTTCTTTGCCAGTGCCGTTTACAGAGGGCAGATAAGCTTCCTGGAAGCTGAAGCTCTCTGGAGAATGTGCAGAAGGATCCAGCCTGACTGTAAGGTCTGTTCAGCGCTTGGCAGCCTCTGCTTTTCATGGGCAGTGCTTGGGTAGGTGAGGCTCCTGGGATCCAGGACAGCACAAGAGCAGACCTGGCAAATCGGCTTTCTCAGGGTCTGGTTAGGCAGCCTGTGTTTGCAGAGATGATGGGTCACGTCTGCGTTTCATTCTCTGGAATGAAATTTATTTATTGTGCAAACTCATTTAAGGAAAAAGCTGACTTTATTAGTCGGGTCTCTGGAAAGCAGTCAGCATTTCTGTGACCTGTTCTTCCATAGCTAAGGAAGAACAGGCTTAAGCAAGCACTCAGCAAAGGTACGTTGCATAATTAGTGACGTATAATTTACCTAATTTATTCTTCTGTAGGAGCTTAAATACATTAGACGTCGGCTGTCAAGTCTGTACACAGGTGCAGTGTGAAATACGCTGTTTTAATTTATTTAATTTTAACCAAAAATAGATCCTAGAGCAGTTGAAGAATGCTTTATTTTTTCCTCAGACCCTCAGCAGTATGTCCTGTATTATGGGGCTGGCTGCGTGAGTTGGGCCAGTTCCTTGCTGCTGTCTGACAGCCCAGTAAGTATGAATGCAAATTCTGATCTCCTTCACCTTTCCACTTTGAATCACCATATGGAAAAGAGATGTGGATTCCACCCCACTTTAGAGTCATGGAAATGAGCTGTTATGAAATCGGGAAAAGGAACTGTATCCTGGCAATTTCTGAACGAGCAGCTTGAGAATTGATGTAATTGCGAGGCGCCGGGAGAGAGACGACAGAAAGGAGGAGTCAAGTTAGAAAATGAGTGAAAACAAGAGTGTGTTTAGGAAAGCTGAGGTCTCCTTCCTTTCCTTTTTGGCCGGATGACGTTTTGCCATTGCCAGGTACAACTTCCTTCAAAGCAGTTAACTAATTTATGCCACAAAGACCAATTAAAATAATTGATTTCCAGTAATGCGCAGCCATCTTATAAAATAATCTCTGGCTCTCCAGTGTGGCAGGTAATCTATTAAACAGAACGTGGAACTTTCATCACATGGAAATAAATATGAAAGATAGAGTTTTGTCTGCAGATGGCATACGTGAAAGAAGCAGAGTTAACAAGGCTTTTGATGCTTTTAACATCCTCATAGGTAAGGGCAGGAGGTGTGGGTCAGATGAGAGGACAGTGAGGTGGGTTGAGAACTGGCTGGGTGGCAGAGCTCAGAGGGTTGTGGTCAGCGGTGCAGTCTGGTTGGAGGCCTGTGGCTGGTGGTGGTCCCCAGGGGTCAGTTCTGGGTCTGGTCTCGTTTAACCTGTTCACCAGCTTGGGAGTCCTGGGGGACAAGTTGCCCATGAGCCAGGAATGTACCCTGGTGACCAAGAAGGCCATTGGTACCTTGGGGTGCATGAGGAAGAGTGTGGCCAGCAGGTCGAGGGAGGTTCTCCTCCTCCTCTACTATTCTGCCCTGGTGAGGCCACATCTGGAGTGCTGGGTCCAGTTCTGGGCTCCCCAGTTCAGGAAAGACAAGGAACTACTGGAGAGAGTCTAGCGGAGGGCGGTGACGATGATGAGGGGGCTGGAGGATCTCCCTGATGAGGAAAGGGTGAGGGGACTCGGGCTGTTCAGC